GTTCAGCTGTGAAGGCTGCTTCTAGCTTGTCTAGAAGGGTCCTAAGCAAAACTTCTTGCGACAAAGCCTCAGAGATGTGTTTCGACTGTGCTTCTACTGTAGAAGACTTGGACAGATGGTGCAATAGTGGGGTAAGCAAACTAAGTGGACTGGGGTTCTAGAAGCTGGTGATGTGGATTGCGAAGCTGAGGAATGTGTTTCGAATGATGGAGATGGTCAAAAATTGGCTAAGTGTGGTCGGCCTTCTTTTGCTCGCTCGAATCTGACCCTCTGAAACTCATGTAGTCGCCTGAGTCTTTGATTGAATGATGAGAAGACTTCTTCATTCGATGTTTCACCTATTGTGGTAATCCCGACTCTGTTTCAAGGGGATACCAAACTCCTTCTTCGGTCTCTGATCGTAAGGCTGACGACTCGGTGCTGTGAAACTTTAAATTCTCTCCACCCCTCACGGTGGGCTCCAGAAATGATATGCTCAACCGTGTCCTGGCCGTGAGCAGTGCTCCTAACCAAACCCCTACTGGTGGAAGGCAAACTGGGGCTCTGTCTGTCCGCAGTCCCTTTGGGCTATGGTCACAGGAAACTTCAGATGATAACACAGTGACGGGCAGCCATGAGTCGTTCGGCTGTGATGCTTGAAACGGAGTCAGATTGTCAAAGATTCTGGATCGGTGAGTGTCGGACTTGACTGTATGGATGCCTCCAACTGGGAAACAGTCGAAAGCTGGAATGTGGGGGTGTGTGGGTGTAGAATGCGATTGGCGACTTCTGTACTCGTGAACTGTGGTGGCTGAAGGTCTGGGCTGAGGCACGAGGACCTTCTATATCTGAAAAGTGCTGGTCAAGCACCAACGAGCAACCCCTAACTGTCCCCGAGCTGGGATAAGCACCGACGATGAAGCCCTGAGCACTTCTGACTGGAACAAGTGCCGACAATGAACCCCTGGATGTCTCTGAATGAGAACGAGCACTGACAATGAACTCATGGACGCTAGGAGGCTACAGGATCTGATGGGGACAGAATCCTGGTTTAAGACTCATGACTAGTGGCGTGTGAGCAAAATGCAATGGCGTGAGATACAAGAACACAATAACGTGACTTATCTGGCTGAAACCCGAGTCGAGCTAGAGGCCACTGCTGAGAGTGCTGCCTCTCTCAGTGTCGAGAATCCCAAAGACGTAGAATGTGATCACAATAGATGTAGACGTAGTCGAGCACGATGCCTTAGCATAGATGAGACGTGAACTGAGTGCTGCTTGATGGGGAAACTCCCTGTAAAACTTCTTGTTTTTGCTATGTACAATGTGGATTATATAGTGGGTTGGAAATGAGCCAGCTGAGTCGCTGAAACATGTCACAAAGCTCCCTCCTGCTCCTCTCCATACCATACAGTCAGGGAAATGAAGTCTGGGCCTGCCAGGATCCATCAGTCCACTACCCTGTCTTCTGTTCAGTTAGTGCACTTGCTCGTTTCTGAGTTGCCTAACCGGTCATGTTCTGCTTCTCGCACTGCACCTCATAATCAGCTACACTTCCTTGTGGCTCGCTCATGATTTCTGCGCCTCATGTTTCACCTTCTGACCCTTCACACAGTTCCATGTTCCCAGGCTGTCAGTAAAGTCTTCTTTGCCCACTCTGGACTGTTTCAGCTCAGTGTTTGTCTTTCTGGGTCACGGCGACTCGCTATCTGATTGTGCGATAGTCAGATGCAGTTTTTGGCATTTTTCAATCACAGGATATCTCGGTGCGTATTAATACTATCAATACCCCGAAGATACGATGGAACGGCTCCTCAATAGACTTAGCATATGCAACAACCTGATCCCTGAATAGGATCCTCAATAGGGTTGCACCATTAAGTCTGGGCCATTCCAGAGCTATATTAAAAGACAGAACATCTGAATCATTTACATGCATCACTCAGTGTACACATCACATACACCTATTATGTCATGGGTCCAGAATGTCTAAAGTGCACATCACGTGCAGCTCAAATCCACAGATTGGAACTACGGTCCGATCAATAACTCAAGTCTGGACCAACTGAGTAACGAAGTTGCCAGACTAAGCCAAAAGTCTTGGATCCAGATTAACTAGATAAGATAGAAGCCAAGAAGTGTGGGGTAACTCCACACCTGTATTAGTCTTGGCCAATATCAAGTTAGTAGTCGGAACACTGTCGGGTGTTTCACCGACAGAAGGGGATAAGTATTGATTGGTCGGAACCCCAGATTGAGATATGTTGGGATTTCTCAGTTAAGGGTACTCATGCCACAAGGCATGGTCCAATAGATACATGCAGTTATATTCAGGTCATAACTGCGGTTAGGTCAACACAATGTAGCAGCACCATTAGAAGGTATTTGGCGCAGCACCTCGCCATTGAGTACTAAAGATAGGATTTCCATCTGTCCTCGATCTGTGGATCCACCTCCGATATCAGGGATCCTAGTACTCGATGTAATTATAATCGTAAGTAGGATAGACAGTATATCAGGGTCCTACCCTGCTTGTATATATACTAGGGCTAACTGGGAGTAGATCCCCAGTTCTATCATACTTCCGATGACCTCACCTGAGGTCCACTCCTTAACCAGAGTGCGTACAGACTGGCTAGCAATCCAGGTCAATGATCGTCCGACATGGGACTTCAGGCCTGCTTGTAGTTGGCTTGTGAAAGCCATTATCCTGCCACCACCTACTTGTCGACATATCACGCTCGACCTATTCAAGTTGGTTCTGGATGTTAGAGGTAATTCATGTCTAGTCAGAATCATGTTGGTGCTGACACATTAAATTGTGTTCAGAGGATATTCCTGAGTGATTCGTGACAGGCACTATCATTGGCCCTGCAATGCAACCACGACAATGATGCAACTCACGCTCCTAGGCTCCCAAAAATTTGATAAAATCATAGCCAATACATAAAAGCATGATGAACATGAGCAATGACTCAGATTCTACAGTGAGCCACAAAACTGTTGCAATGTTTGTAATGGTTGCATTGTTTGGCTTATATCTCAGGAACCAGAAAGGCTATATATGCAAACTTATATATCATTAAAAAGCCTATGATATGGGCTTTCAAATGACATTTAGATAAAGTAAAGCGGCTTTACCATTGTTGAGATATGAATTTTTCATTACAAAAAGTGCATTGCAACAGTTTTGTGGCTGACAGTTCTGAAAATAAAAATGTGCCCTTGCAGAAGTTTGTTTGCTTTGAGGTTTGAGGTTTGAATTATATAATATTTGTTGAACTTTAATATGAGTCAATAAACACCAAACAGACTGTTAAACTTCAACACCATCATCATGAAAAAACTTTCTGCTACTCAAACTGCTCAAATTCTCTCTTTACTTGATCAAGGCCATTCTGCCAGACAGATTGCTCATCTGACTGGTATCCATTGCTCCAATATGTCCCAAATACACTCTGAGCATTGTCCTGACATTTTTTAATGATATATAAGTTTGCATATATAGCCTTTCTGGTTCCTGAGATATAAGCCAAACAATGCAACCATTACAAACATTGCAACAGTTTTGTGGCTCACTGTATATATGTCATGCGAGGCACACGTACCATGTAGCTATTCACAGCATAAGACTGACTTGCTCATAGCATAGCTTTCAAATTACCACCCTCACAGTGAAGTACCCAATTTCGGAGTTACATAAGCATTTTGGCATCTTCAATTGGATTTTGGACGACATGTCAGTGGTTGAGAAGTGCAGTGGCTGAGGGCCCCAAGGCAGATATCCAGTGTTTGCTGTTGCCCTAAGTGCCAAAAAGTTCCTTCTCGCTGAGTCTCGTCGGCATCGGTTCTGCATCTCGTTTCTCTGTTACTTCTGCCAGGTCTAGTGGGCTTGCATTGAGGTGAGCATTGTTCTCAGTGTACTTAGGGTGATGATTCTTTCATACCAATTTCTATGCCGAAAACACGATGTGGAACTGGAGCCATATCAATCTAGTTTCAGCCTTGGCTGACCATTCTCTTCCTTCTCTTCCTATAATTGCGTGAACCTGACTGTTCTTCGTCATCAGTGAAATTCATCTTCAGGTAAATCCATGAAGGCATCTACTTTGTGGTGAGTGATGTTCCACATGCAACACGTGATTTCTTGCTGTTTCGGATGAAATTCCTATTCGATGGGTGGACAGAATGTCTTCTGCCTACACCAAAGTCTCCTAGTGTACAAAAATGGAGATGGGCACGGTTGCTTGTTGAATGCATTGAGTTGCTGAACCCTCTTTCCTTACAAATCGTTTTTTTGGCCTGTCCCATCTGACCAACAAGCTTTTAGATCTGGACTAGAACCTATCAATTCGGGAGCTTAGGTGGGGCTGTAGTTACAACATCATGTATTACACACAAAGTCAGTGCGCACAGGCTGGGCACACGTTCCATCTATACATCTCCTCATTCTCGCAATGTCCATCAAAAAAGACGTGAGCTCGCGACGTGTGACCGGTCTGCTGCCGACCCTCATGACCATCGGTTGCGACAGCTGCGTATCCTCATCAGAAGCGGAAGATCTGACGACATACAGTAGCAATATTCAAAGCCATGATCTAGTGTGACAATCGCGATCGGTCGCGATCGATCACTCCTGACTCTCACCGCCACTTGGCCATGGCCACTCGCGACATGCTGGACCGCCTGTCTGAAATGGCGTGCGTTCAATTCCGTGATAAGTCAAACTCGTCCGTGCGCACGCTCAAAGCATGGAGCTCTGGAGGCCTGAGCGCTGAGCGCTCGGCGATGTTGACCGTTGAACTCTAGAGCCTGAGGAGACGAGGATAATCAACGAAGATGGTTCGGAGTCTCGTCCGCTCTCAGATAATAAAAGATTATGAATTCCAACTGACAATCCATAGCACAATCCAAAGTAACGTTACATTGCGAGAATACAAGACTGATCATGTCCTCCACGGACTAACTGGGGTCATCATTCGCAGCAGCCATCATCAGACAATCGAATCATTAGCCCACACTCACTTACTGCTCGATCCTCCCGCCTCCTCCTCCTCCACCTCCTCCTCCTCCACCTCCTCCTCTTTCTCTTTCGCCTTCTCCGCTGCCTTCGCCGCTTTCTTCTCGGCCTTCAACGATGCAGGGTCGTTGCGCAGAATCGACGATATAGGATTTATAGCCGAGTCCATGGCGTCCTTGGCCTCCTCAAAGGGCCCACGCGTGTCAATCGAGTGTGCGAATAGCAGATCAAACTGCGCCTTGAATTCCGGGGTGATCACGGTGTAAACCGAACTGTCGTGCCCCCGAATGTTTAGGCAGTATCGCTTCGGCTCCTTGTCTTTTTCCAGATATCCTATCCAGCCGCCGTGCGTCTGTTTCGCAGGTTGCCCAATTTCGAGAGCAACGCGAGGCCCGCCAGCGTGTCCGAATGCGCTCTCGGTAGCGAAGTCCATAAAAAGTGCGACGTAGTTCTCGGGTTTATATCGCACAACCGCGCCTGATTTGTCAGTGCGTTCAATGATAGGGCCTGCCAGTCCAGCAACTAGGCTATATGCAGATGCTTTCGTTTTCGCTTTGATCTGAACGATGACATATCCGAGCAAACTCTCGTCGAAAGGCTCGTTGAGGTCTCCACTGTATGTTACGAACAGCGAATCGAACAACGCCTGAATATGGGTGCACTGTACGCCGGCACCCCGCTTCCACAGCTCAGCAAGCCACTTGCGAGTAATGACGCTGAGCTCTTCGGAGGTTTGGACCCAGTGAGTAAAGTTGATCCAGAGCTTGTCTGCGTCTTTGACAAAATCCTTAGGGTTGGCCTTCTCAGCCTTGGGCTGCTCAGCCTCAGCCTTGTCAGCCTCAGCCTTGTCAACCTTGGACTTGGCGGCCTTGGGCTTGGCAGCCTTGGGCTTCTTAGCCTTGGGCTTCTGAGTCGTGGGCTCCCCAACCGTGGCTTCTACAGTCGTTTCCTGATGCTTGACGCCGAGGTCGTCGCCAAGCAAGGTCTTCAGAAAGTCTGACAGTCTCAACGGGCGGACAGCGCGCCGAGTGGAATCCACAAACTTTCCTCCCTTCGGAAGCGTCGCCTTGTCGCGCGCGAGGGTGAGTAAGAGCCTGGTGCATAATTCACCTTGTCGCCCTCGATCAGTCACGACCCCGTCCATGATGAGTCGTCGCATCAGCGTGTCCAACGCCCTGGCGTAGGTCTGCGGGTTCAAGTTCAGGACTTCTGCAGCAGCGACGGCAAGCATAGGTTCCGAAGGCGCGGCGGTGGTGATGAACGTATCATGGACACCGATCAGGAGGCGCATGTGACTGCGTACAGCGTTTATAGCGATGCGGCTGGACTCCATCGTATGATTCAGTTCCAGCACGATCCTGTTTGCGAAGACGGCGAACACATGTTCACGGTTTGTTGGATCGAATTTGTCGTTATAGATTAGCTTCTTAATTGCAGCACGCACAAGGTCTGGAGAGTAGCGAAGGGTATACCAATACTGTATATCGGCTTGGTCAGTGACAGTTCACGAAGATGGAAAAAAGCGCTACTTACAGGCCGGCCCAATGCTGCAAGGAAGGAGATCAGAAGAGCGTCCTCCGCGTTTGTAAACTCGTCATCTTGCTTGGCACCTTGCTTGTCATCTTGCTTGGAACCTTGCTTGTCATCTTGCTTGGCACCTTGCTTGTCATCTTGCTTGTCATCTTGCTTGGCACCTTGCTTGTCATCTTGCTTGTCATCTTGCTTGTTATCTTGACGCATTTGGTCGAAATCGACGTAACACCACACAGGCAAGGGTTTAAGTGCACTCGCTAAGCGAAACGAGGACGCATCTGGCCCGGAAGAAGCGAGTTCATACACGGAGGAATTCGTGTCCAAGAGCATATACCAAAATTCGATATCGTGCGGGAAAGTGCATTCGTCTG